TCTCCGTGTTCCTGGCGCGAGGCGGCGACGGCTGCGGCGATGCGCGAACGAGATGAGGCGAGGCGAGGCAAGGCGAGGTGAGGTGATGCGAGACGAGAGACAGGAGCCGTTACCTCCCTCAGCGAACGAACGAATGAGCGAGCGAGCGAGCGAACGAGCGAACGAGCGAACGAGCGAGCGACCACCCCTCGTCGGCGCGGTCGTGGCGACCGCCGCGGAGATCCTTCTCTCTCGCGAGTCGCGCGCGTTGCGAGAGTCCGCGGACAAGCTCCGCTTCTCCGCCGTGCGTCTCGCGACCAGAGGGTGCGCACGGATCGAGAGGGTGAGGGCGAGGGCGAGGGAGGAGGGCGAGGGTGAAAGGGAAGCTGACGGAGGGCGGGGATGAGAGAAGGCGCTCTCGCACTCACATGTTTGTCGTGTGAAATCGGCGCGCGCGCGACGTACCCCCGTATCACCGACGACGGGGTACGCGCGAGGACGAGCATCGGCCCGGATGTGCGTTCATCACGCCGACGACGATGACGATGACGGCGGAACGACGGCGCTCGCTGCTGCTGTTTCTTCTCCCCTTCTTGCCGGCGAGGAGTTGTCTCTCGCCGTTGGTTCTTGGCTGCTGCGGCTGGTGCCGCCGCTCCTTGCGCGTGTCACTGCGTGCGGTCGACGACGACGGCCGCGTAAACGTCGTCGTCGGTGCGACGATCTCGCGGCGCGCGTGGACCTCCGTTAGACTGTCGCCGACCGACTGACAGACGCGTGAATTAACGGTTACACGCGTGGTTTTAACGCGGCTCCGACATGCTCGGGGTGGGACGCGCGCGTTATCCGCGGATCCGAACGTGCTCCGAACGAAACAGAGGAAGAGGAGAGAATTGGATAGGGATGACGAGATGCGGGACAGACGAACGCAAGGATGCGATTGAGTGAGAGAGATCGAGATTCCGAGTCAGGAGGAAGAAGGGGCAAAAAGAGAAAGAAAGACGGATGAGAGAGAGAAAGAGAGAGGGAAAGGGTACGAGCGAGACGAGAGATCAAGGGGAGAAAGGAGAGGGCGCGCGTAAGAGGAGCCGCGTTAAACACGGAGGGATGCTCCACGCGTAAATCGCGGACTCGCCGATGGTGCTGGCGCGGGATCGGAGTAAAGACTGGCTGCGATGGTAGTGGTGATGATAGTGGTGGTGATGGTGGTGGGCAGAGAGCGCTTCTCGAACGAGGGAGGTAATTTAACCCCCGCTTTCTCCCTCTTCTCTCTCTCTCTCTCTTTCTACGTGCGATTTTGTTCGACCGGCTTGGTCGAGGGATGCCAGTGAGGGAGAACACAAGATGAGACGAGAGAGAAAGCGAGAAAAATTGACTAGAGGAAGGAAAAGCGAGTGTTTGGAAAAGATCGAGAAGAGAAGGAGAGAAAGAGAGATAGAACAGAATTAGAAATATGGAAGGGGAGATTCGGAAAAAGGAGGGAGAATGAGTAAGTGCGCGTGTATACATGCATCTCGTGCGCGCTTGTGCGGCCGCGAGAGCAAGAAAGAGGGAGAACGCAAGAAGAATAGAGAGAGAGAGAGAGAGAGAGAGAGAGAGAGAGAGAGAGAGAGAGAGAGAGAGAGAGAGAGAGAGAGAGAGAGAGAGAGAGAGAGAGAGAGAGAGAGAGACGAGACGACGACGACGACGACGGACGGACGG